AAGTCCTGCTCCTCTAGAACCTCCATACTTGTCTTCAGAATCATCTCCTCCCTTAGAGCCCCCATACGTCCTCCTGGAAAACCCACTCCCACCAGAACAGCCATATCCACCTCCAGAAAACCCTGTTCCTTTAGAACCTCTTCCACTCCAGGCTCAAGAACGTTATCCTGCAGACCACTACCTCTCTGGACCTGTCCTATATTTTTCATGATCCTCCTGTTATTCCTTCAGCGACCCGCAATATGGAGCCTCCATGTGTTTCTCCAAGATGCAGAGTCTCAAAGACTTCTCCATCCATTGAGTCGCCATATACTCCACCAGAGTCTCTACACTTTTCTCCAGGTGCACCTGACTCTCTGGAAGAAAGACAACCCTTAGAAACCTTGCTCGATTGACTCCCCGCCCCCTCTAATCCAACCTACCCTTCACACAGTGCTCGAGAGACAACTGCTCCCCTCATGCGCCAGAGGAACATTGTCAAAATGGGGTTCCAGATGTTCCTCTCTGGTCCAGACCTCTCCAGAGGCAGCTGCCACTCTTGAGTGGCCACACTGGCTTCCCAGAACTTTTTTTTTTTACTTTTAGAGTAACCATGTACGGTGTTTGCTTTTGCATCCCTTAACAGCTCCTCTGTTCTTCCAGAATTCTTAAAACATCTCCAGGAAACAACCATGATCGATATCACGAAAGTTAGTTATGTTTTGGAACACATAGGTTTTATTTACTTGTTTTAATTTACTTCATTGATTATTCATTTATTAATTAAACTGCTCTATCCTCATCCAATGTCAACTGGCATCCTTACTGTAACATCTACGCAGAGTCATCCACTCTGGAGGTCCCATCTGAATTACATACCTTGGAATTGATCCAGGTAGTCCTCAACTTACGGCCACAGTGGAGCCTGAAATTTCTGTGGCTAAGTGAGACATTTGTTAAGTGAGGTTTGTCCCATTTGTATGACCTTTCTCACCATAGTTGTTCAGTGGATCACTGCAATTGTTACGTTAGTAACACCATTGTTAAGTGAATCTGGCTTCCCCATTGACTTTGCTTGTCAGAAGGTCGCAAAAGGGGATCACATCACCTTGGGATACTGCAACCATCATAAATGTGAGGCAGTTGCCAAACAACTGGAACCACCATTTTCATGGCTAACTAAAGTGGTTGTTACATGAGTAGCGTCTAACTTGTTTTGCCCCGGTTGTTAAGCAAATCATTCACCACCACCACCATCATCGTGATCGTTTAACAACCCCATAATCCTTGCGGGGTGGAGTTTGGGCACCTGAATGGTGCTAGCAGAGTGTTTAATGGCCGGATGCCTTTCCTGTTGCCAATGCGGAGTTTTGTTCAGCAGATCTATTCTCACTGTGCCCAGAGAAATAGGATTGAACCCACAGCCTGTTGATTGTGAGGTGAGAGCTCCACCTCTAGGCCACTGCACCACTCTTTGTTAAGCAAATCATTGCCACTGTTAAATGAATTATGCAGTGCAACCTTTGGGCACCAGGGACCGGTTTCAGGTTTTTCTGAACCAGAGGGGACGTGATTTCCTATGCGCTGCCTGCATCCCATAAATGGGACCTTTTTGTGCAGCTATATTCCCCGTCAGAACTGGAGTTGGCCGTGTTGTGGGATTTTATTGACAAGAACCTCTGGAAAGGGTTTATCTGGCCTTCTACCTCCCCATTGGCTGCACCAGTGCTTTTTGTGAAAAAGAAATCAGGGGAGCTATATTTGTGTTGTGATTACCGCAAGTTGAATGCAATCACAGTGAGGAATCGGTACCCTCTTCCCTTCATCCCTGAACTGATTGAGCGGCTTCGTCAAGCTAAGATCTTTATGAAGTTGGATTTGCATGGGATCCACAATCTGGTTCGCATTCGTGCAGGGGACGAGTGGAAAACAGCTTTCCAGACGAGGTACGGGCATTTTGAGTATTCCGTGATGCCTTTTGGATTAACCAATGCCCCAGCTGTGTTCATGCATTTCATGCACAATGTTTTCCGTGATTTGTTGGATCAATTTGTGGTCATTTATTTAGATGACATTTTGATTTACTCAGACTTCCTGCAGGAACATTGGCAGCAAGTGCAGCTGGTGTTGCAACGTTTGCGTGATAACCACCTGTTTGCTAAACGTGAGAAGTTTGCACAAACCACGATTGACTTCTTGGGACAACATATTTCACCTGCTGGGGTGGAAATGGACCCGGAAAAAATTCAATCGTTGCAGGAGTGGGAACCGCCACAGCGGGCTAAGGATGTGCAAGGACTGTTGGGGTTTGCGAACTACTACCGCACATTTATTCCCTGCTTTGCTGCCTTGACTGCTCCCCTTTCTAATCTGCTCAAGAAGGGGGAGAAGTTTCAATGGGGTGCTGAGGAGCAGGTAGCTTCCGAGGCGTTGAAAGTTGCCTTTGTTTCAGAGCCTATCCTCAAACACCCTGATCCAGGCCAGCCATTTGTGGTGGCAACAGATGCTTCCGATGTGGCTGTTGGTGCAGTGCTCCTCCAGGCCTATGCTCCCGCAGGCACCTTGTTCCGGTGCGCTTATTATTCACGGAAGTTGTCAGCTCCAGAGCACAACTATACAATTTGGGACAAGGAGCTATTGGCGGTTAAGACAATTGAAACATGGCAGCACCACCTGGAGGGGGCTCGTCACCAAATCGAGGTTTGGACAGATCATCGCAATTTGGAACACCGAATGTACAGCTCGGACATTGAACCAGCATCAGGTGAGATGGTCCTTATTCTTTGCTCAATTCGATTTCCGGGTGGCCTATGTTCTGAGTGGAGGGAATCAACATGCCGACGCCCTATCTCAGAAGCCCGAGTATACCTGAAGGGAGGATAAAATCTTTCTCCGGACAGTGATTCCATTGGAGCGGTTTGCAGCCACCGAGGAACCTGTGGACCTTCGAGTGAGGATTCAGGAGGCACAGCGGCAGGACCCATTTGTGACAGCTTGACGTCAAGAATTGGATGAGAATGGGAGACAAGAGACTCCTTGGGCGCATATTGAGGACCTGTTGCAGTTCCATGATCGCATTTATGTGCCTGGAGGTCCTCTTCGTGGCCTTATCCTATGTCAATGTCATGATAGTCCGGCGGCAGGACACTTTGGGGTGTTCAAAACACTGCACCTCATCTCTAGGACACTTTGGTGGCCGAGACTTAAACATGATGTGTCGGGATATGTGGCATCCTGTGGGATCTGTCGTCAAGCCAAGTATGCTCCCGGTGCGCCCCCTGGTCTATTGCAGCCCTTGCCCACGCCAAAACGACTGTGGGGGGCAGTTTCATTGGATTTCATAATTGAGTTACCACCATCGAATGGTTGCCACAACCATTTTGATGGTGGTGGATATGTTGACTAAAATGGCTCACTTTATTCTGTGTGCGGGTCTTCCATCAGCCAAGATAACGGCTCAATTGTTTATCTCCCATGTTTTCAAGTTGCATGGATTACCAGACCACATGGAATCAGATTTGGGGGTACAATTTACAGCACGCTTCTGGCAGACCCTACTCGCGAAACTGCAGGTTCAGGCATCTCTGTCATCTGTTCATCACCCTGAAACTGATGAGCGGACAGAGAGAGTGAATGCTATTTTGGAGCAGTACCTCCTCTGTTTCAGCAATACTCAGCAAGACAATTGGGTGGAGGTGCTGCCAGTGGTAGAGTTCGCTTATAACAATGCTCAACATACATCCACCCATGTGTCCCCTTTCTTTGCTAACTATGGGTTTCATCCACGACTTTTCCCTTTAGCCCCGTCTGATTCCCCAGTTCCGGCAGTGGATACATCTTTGCAGGAGTTAAAAGCCGTGCACCACATGGTCCGTGATCAACTAGAGAGAGCCAAGGAAGACTATAAATGGTTTGCAGACCGACATCATTGCGATGTTCCACCTTTAGCAGTCGGCGATTGGGTTTGGCTCTCTACTTGATATTTACCAACGATGCGACCATTGAAAAAACTCGATTACTGTTACTTGGAACCTTTTCTGGTTGAGGCAGTGATCAATCCTGTGGCTTATCGTCTCTCCCTGCCACGGACCATGCGTATCCATCCTGTTTTTCATTGTTCCCTGTTAGTTCCTGCCTCGCCCGACAGTCCGCATAGACCGGCTCCATCACAGCCGACCCCAGTAGCCCCTCCGGGAGAAGAGGAATACAAAGTGGATAGCACCCGAGATTCATGTCAGTTGCGGGGCTGATTTCAGTATTTGGTGGCATGGAAAGGTTATGGACCAGAGGACTTCACCTGGGTAGATGCCACTGATGTTCATGCTCCTCGTTTGGCCCAGGACTTTCACGCTCAGTTTCCTCAACATCCTTGTCCGCCTGGTCCCGGGGTAGGGGGCCCTGTGGGGTGGGATAGTGTCATGCCCCTGGTGGAGTCTGACTCCACCAGGGGCATGACTTTGTTTGTTTTGGTTTTCTGTTTGCCTCCTTATTTACTTTTGTGACTTTAAACTGTGCCTAATAAAACAGTGAAGTTAAGTTGAAGGCTTTACTGGACTTTAATATATGTTTTGGGTTATTTTGAGAGACTACGGGTCATCACAGTTCTGCTGTTGGAGTTTGTTTTTCTGGAGCATTGACAGTATGGCTGTATTATTGTTATTATCCTTCTCATCTTTTCTACTACCTTCTCTTATTGGTATGAGCATTATGATTATTATTACTCGTTTTGCATATGCACAGAGAGCTCCTGGACCAGAGACAAATTCCTTGTGTGTTTATTCACACTTGGCCAAATAAAGTGTCCTGTCCTATCCTATGTTCTACACTATTCTACACTATACTACACTATTCTATATTCTCCTTTGTATTCTATTCAATTTCTCCTATGTATTCTATTCTATTCTGTTCTATTCTATTTTCCATTATTTTCTATTCTGTTCTGTTCTATTCCTATCATTTCTATTTCTGTTTCTATTGTCTTTGCCTGAGAATAAACATAGTTTGCTGTTTCATTCTTACTGATCGTTTTTCCAGCGTCCTTCCCTATCCTAACATTTACATTTTGATGACATAATCCCGATGCAGATAGCGGTACTAACCAGATCTCTGCCTGCTTAAGCTTTCTACCACAATCTGCTAAATTGACTCTCTGCTGCCCTCTACAAGACATTTTTAATACATCCATTATTAAATTCACTCCAGTCAATTTGGCACCTGCCACAGTTGTACAAGAAGGATATAATTTATTGCCGGGGGCAGTCACTGTGAAACAGAGAGACATGATTCACATTATACAGCTGTGCGAGCTTCTCCTCCAACTGGCCCAGAGTGAACCTCTGCACCACGTTTTGGTCATTCCTGGCAAGGATGGCCCAGGATCTAAGATGATTGTTGTCTATCACGCAGCAGGCTGCAGACCACAAATGGCTGGGCCTGTTGACCCTCCCTCTAGCTATGTAGGTGTCTCCTGGCACTGCTCCCACCACCGCAAATGTCTGGTGGCATCCTCTGGTCATCTGCTGCATGGTGGTTTGCTCGTAGTTGTTCCAGGCTCCGCCGTTGAGTTTTATGAACTGGGGGACGATGTTCGTCAGGGTGAATGTGGAAGACTTGGCACTGTAATCAGGCTGATGTCCATTTGGGTTCAGATGGCCCCTGTTGCAATCGGTCAGGTTCTTGTAATCTTCCAAGATGGCCTGGCTGTTCTGCATAGCTGTTATGGGGCCCTTTTTATTCAGGAAGTCCCTTTCTGTTTCCATTTCACTTTGGAACGTGGAACTGATGAGCTGTGGAAGAGAAGAGAGGAAGCACAAACAGGGGATAAAAGGAGAGGTAATAAGAAAGGAAACAAAAACGCCTAGCTCTACAGTCTTCAAATCTACAGCCATGTTTCCCTAACATGTCTTGAACTGGTAACATTCACATTACAGGCTGAGCCTCCCCAAAATCAACTGTATTGTGGTTTCACACAATGTGCTAAGACTAATAAAGGAGAATATTTGTAGTTCAGGTTTGACATGAGGGGTCCTTGGTTCTCTCTGAGCTTTTTTGTTTTCTTACAGATGTTTCATGACCCAACTAGGTAACATCATCAGTGCTAGTAAGGTTTGCTGCCATTTAGTAAGGAGGACAGCAAAGTATACAGTAACATTGATGATGTTACCTACTCTGTGTCATGAAACATCTGCAAGAAAATAAGCCAGCTCAGAGAGCACCAAGGACCCCTCTTGTGCTAAGACCATGGCTGTTTCCAGCAAGTCCGAGCCGTAAACAATATATACATTTGATATATTATTGTTATGTTTGGTAGCACAGTCGGCTCGATGTTCAGACTGGATGTGGCATTTCTATCCACTTATGGAGTCCTTCCCAGGGAGTGAGATAGGTAGATGTTGTTGTTTAAGGGTCTTAATAATTATGATTATTAGTATTGGGTTCTTTTCTGTATCCTGTACAGAGGTGGGTTTATAAACTGTACAGATGCAGATACATAACTCAACAAGACGTCCATAAAAAAGTACATTTATTGGTTCATCAGGTATCCTCATAACTCACATTTGTGATGAAGTTTTTCTTTAATGACCAATCCTTTATATATCTGCCTTGTAGTAAAAGATGGTTATCTCCTAACCCATCCCGTAGCAATAGAAATCAGCTCCCATGAGTTAGGGAATTCAGGCACAATTTAGTGACCAATCAGGATTACAGATGTGGTCACGTGATATGGACTACATTTCCCAGGATACCTTTAACTACATTTACCATGATGCCTTCCCTTAAGGGGACAGCTCATAATTCCTAAGTAACTATCCAATTCCCATAGACTGGCTGGGACAGCAGAGGTTCATTGTAGTCGGCCAGATGTTCAGACTGGATTTGGCATTTCTACCCACCTATCGAATCCTTCCAAGGGATGTGAGATAGGCAGGTGCTGATCAGCAGTGGGATCCTACCTGTTCCACTACTGGTTCGGTGATCGCACGCACGCACCTAATGTGTGCACGCAGCTTTCCCCATACCAGCTGAGGCCTGCAGTGCCAATCAGATGAGAGGATAAAGCACAGGGGCAGATGGGATGGTCGATCCTGTGCTTTTCTCTTCTTTCTCCTCTCAGCTGATCGTCAGAGGCTTTTTTTTTACTACTGGTTCAGCCTAATGCAGGGGTCCTCAAACTTGACAGCATTAAGACTTGTGGACTTCAACTCCCAGAATTCCTCCTCCAGTCATGCTAGGTCAGGAATTCTGGGAGTTGAAGTCCACAAGTCTTAAACTTGCTAAGTTTGAAGACCCTTGGATTAATGGGTAGCAATTTTTGCTACCAGTTCGGTCGAACCATCCTGAACCGGTATCATAACACTACTGATGCTGATGTTTAATGGTGTTATAGATAGAATAGAATACTTTATTGGCCAAGTGTGATTGGACACACAAAGAATTTGTCTTGGTGTAAATACTCTCAGTATACATAAAAGAAAAGATACAGAAACCATAAGAGAGCATTTCACCGAGGCAACTGTCGTCAGCGCCATCTTGGCAGATTATCCATCTTGGCAGATTATAGGTATTTGTCCAAAGATGTAAACTCTTCTGAGTGAAGCTGCCTTTTGCAATTCACTGATGGTGAATTTGTTGATGCTGATGGATGTTCAAGTGGTGTGCCAGATGTTTTGGGTCAAGGCCCTGATAGCTATTGCTTTTCCAGAGGTGCTTTTTCAAGAGGCAACTGGACTATCTTGTTTTTCTTTTGAAGATATTTTTCTTCTCATCCAAGAAGCTTCTTCGGCTCTTTGGCTTTCTTTCGCCACGGTCATTCTATTTCTATTTGCAGGTCTTTGTGTGTTGTGTTCTTCTCCAGTTCTTTCTCTGCTATTCTTCTGTCTCCAGGTACTGCCATGTCTACTATCTAGACTGATTTTTCTTTCTTTCTTTTTTTCCATAAATTTTTTATTTTATAACATATAAAAATTCCATTATTGGTTAAACAGTGTGTTGTCTGGGTACAAATAGTTTTAGGAAATAATCAGCATGTTTACAATAATATTCATTATATTGATATTTCTTCTATCATAATGATCATAATAATAATACTGATATTTGCTTATCCATTTAACAAGCCTTCCTTTTCTCATTGTTCCTTTTTTTATATTTCCATGTTTCTAACCTGCTTTTGTCAGCTAACCATTGATAAAATCAGTCCCAAGTCAGAAAGTATTCAGTTTCTTCCTTTCTCTTAATTCTAAGTTTTTTCTTTCTTGATGACCCAGATTGTCAGGAGCAATAGGCTGACTCTGTAAACCGCTTAGAGAGGACTGTAAAGCACTGTGAAGCAGTATATAAATCTAAGTATTGTTGCTAAATGCTAAGGAAGGGAGAAAGAGAAAGAGAAAGAGAAAGAGAAAGAGAAAGAGAAAGAGAAAGGAAGGAAGGAAGGAAGGAAGGAAGGAAGGAAGGAAGGAAGGAAGGAAGGAAGATAAGAGCCATGGTGGCACTGCAGGCTACTTCCACTGACTGCCAGCTGCCAGCAGTTCGAATCTCACTAGGCTCAACGTTGACTCAACCTTCCATCCTTCCAAGATCAGTAAAATGAGAATCCAGATTGTCGGGCGCAATAGGCTGACTCTGTAAACCGCTCAGAGAGGGCTGTAAAGCATTGTGAAGCGGTATATAAGTCTAAATGCTATTGCTATTGTTAGGAGTGAAAGCCATCTGGATCCAACCAACCAACCATCCACTCACCCATCTACCTACCTAGCATTGCAGGCTAATTCCGCCGACTGCCAGCAGTTGAAACCTGACTGGCTCAAGGTTGATTCCATCGTTCCAAGGTCCGTAAAATGGGAACTCAAATTGTTGGGGGGCAAAATGCTGTCTCTGTAAACCGCTTAGAGAAGGCTGTGAAGCAATATATAAGTCTAAGTGCTAAGTGCTATCGCTATTCTTATCAACAATTGTTAAGTCTGGGTTGTTATGTGGCAGGTGCTTGTCTCTCTGAATTCTAAAATCCCAGCACACTTTAGCTTATTCGTATTATTTCAGTGTGCTATTCCCCCATTTCTTTGACTTTAAAGGAGCAGGATAAGAATATGATTGATGCCTTTGGTGTCCCACTTGGGCAGTCAAGAAAACCAATCAGTGAAACGTCAAAACATTTCTTTTGTAAAATCCTCAGGAAAAAAAACACCAGTCCAAAGTTCTCACTTGAAGCACAAAGGATCCAGCTCAAATTATCCTATTTTGAACATATTTTGCAAAGACCCAACTCTTTGGAGGAAACACTAATGCTGAGAAAGGTGGAAGGAAGGAAAAGAAGAATATGAGCAGCAATAAGATGGATGGGCTGAATTATGGTAGTGTAGGAAGCCACCCTCTCCCTGAAGAATGAAATAGTTTAGGAAATATTAAAAAGGCAAAATATTATAAATCTCCCCTAAAAAAGAAATAGAAATCTTAAGGGAGACAGAAACTCAGCCCTGCATCCAGCAGGTATTTGGTGCCCATTAAAAAAATATGGGCCATCCTATCTACAAGACAAAAAAAACCTTCATCCTCAGGGTGATGGATTAACCCTCACTCAAGATCCAAAGTAGGACAAAGCCATTAAGAAACAACATGAATTGCCCAACCCCCTTTCAGAACACAAGCCTCTTCATTACCTCATCAGCTATGATGCCTGCATAGCCCCACAGGAATCTGATAGCAACCAATAAAATACATGTTTTTGCCACAGGAACAGGAAGCTCAAGTTCAAAGCCCAGAGAGGGTATAAATAACCCTGATTCTCCCCTCCATGCAATGTGTGCACCCATGGGAGTCTTGAAAGATCAGATTAGGGACAGATTATCATGCAGAAAATCTATGTCAAGGGTGTCCAACCGTGGTGACTTTAAGACCTGTGGACTTCAATTCCCAGAATTCCCCAGCCAGCACGCTGGGGCTACGTAAGCTACATTCAATGAAAAGAAGAAAGAAGAACTTGAACCCTTCCACCCCCTCTTACCTGAGGTTCAACCATCCATTTTCCGGGTCTCTTAGCCTTCCCAGGGTTATACACGTACGCCGAATATACTGGGATGCGGTTGTGTTTATCATACAAAGTGGCAAAACGGTACAAGTTTTGGTAACGCTGGCAAATGCGTACAGGGGACAGAGGGACCCCAATAACTGGTGGGGTTTCTCGGAGGAAAAACTGAGGACAATGGTCTTGAAAGGAATCCACCACCTCTCCACTTGTGGGCATCTGACTCCAGCTCAGAGAGAGGAGGATGAAGTACAGCAGCATCGTGTGATGAAGTCGATGTCTGGAAAAGAAAATGAAGAGATGAAATAGAGAGAGAGACGCTTGTTAGAAGAAGACCTCTGGAACAAGAAGTGGGATCTTCTCCTGATCCCCTTTGGTTCTACCTCTGCTTTGTTCTCTGCGTGGTGGGTACAAGGCAGGGGTGTCAATTTGAGGGCCGCATCAGGGTTGTGTTTGACCTCAGGGGGGCAGGGGGGCTTGGCCAGCTCGACGTCACTCGTGTCAGTGGGGGCACCTGTGGTGGCCAAATGCTAAGGCAGGACTTCCCTCAGATCCTCCCTCCCTCTCATTATAATCTCCTTCCTTCCTTTCTTCTTCCTTCTCCTCTTTCCTTGTTTTTCCTTCCTTGCTCTCTTCCCATCTTTCCTTCTTTTTCTTCATCTCCTCTCTTTCCTGTCAGGGTTCTGGCAATTGCCCTAATTAAATCACGAGTCTCGAGCCAAGCTTCAAAAAGATTCAAAAGATTTATTAGGAGCAACATGGTGGCATTAACCTAAAGCAGGGTTCTTCAAACTTGACAGATTTAAGACTTGGGGACTTCAACTCCCAGAATTCCTCCTCCAGTCATGTTAGCGCAGGAATTCTAGGAGTAGAAGTCCACAAGTCTTAAACTTGTCAAGTTTGAAGACCCTTGACCTAAAGGAAGACAACTCTGGCATACGTAATTTACATTCACCTGTGACCTTGTTTCCCCCCTCCCCCTTGGGTGACACATTCAGGGCTGGATGTCAGCAATCATGTTCTTCAATGAAGGATTTTCGAGGGTAGAAGACCCGGTAGCTTAGCTACAATCTTTGTAATAAGGGTGGAATGTACTTCTGGTTTTAAACTGCCGTAATGCTCCTTCAGATCTCCCCCTCCCCTGTTTATGGCAACTCGAAAACAGGCATAGGAATGTTTTATGAGTTGACATTTCCCTTTCTCCTTTCCTGTCCCCTTCCTCGATGCTCAAATGCAAAAGGGGAAACATTTCTCCTTTTGTTTTGGTTTTACTTGGTTTTGCTAGCCCTCTGCCAGTGAAAACAGAGCCTGGGCCAGATCAGAAAGCCATAAACATAGGTTTGTGTTGTTCAGTGTTTTGTTGAGTGACCAGAACAAAATAGGTTTTGCCCTCAAGCGTTCTTTACAGCTTCTAAAAGCAGGGCTCCCCAAACATAGCTATGCTATGCTGGCTGAGGAATTCTGGGAGTTGAAGTCCACAAGTCTTAAAGTTGCCAAGTTTGGAGACCTCTGTTCTAAAGGGTTTAAGAGTCCTGTGTGGTAGGCCTTTTATTGAAGATGGGAGGGAGCTGAAGAATTTGTAGCTGTGGAGTCATCAAGGAAGGAAGACTAGAATGGTATGGAGACTCCTGCTTCAGCAGGGTGTTGGATTAGAAAACCTCCAAGGTCCCTTCCAAGTGTTATTCTGTTAGAAGCAAACTTTTTCTTAATTATATTGTTGCTTCTTTGCTTTTTGTTCCTTCCTTCCTTTCCTTCTTTCCTTCCTCCCCCTTATTCCCTTTTCTCTCCTTCCTTCCTTCCCTTGCTCCCTTTTCTCTTCTTCCTTCCCTCTTCCCCCCCTCCCTTCTTTCCTTTCTTCATCCCCTTCTCTCCTTCCTTCCTTCCTTCCCTCCCCTTATTCTTTTCTCTTCCTCCCTCCCTCCCCTCCCTTCTTTCCTCAGTTGCTTCCTCTTCATTTCAATGAAATGAAGCAGAGAGAATAAATTGCCTGCCTCTCTGAATCTGTACCAGGAGATGGCAGTTGAGGTTCCTCCTTCATGGGACATTCACAACCTGTTACCCACGATAAGATTCCTTTTCCTCCCATGCTGGAAAGGATTCCTTCAAAAGTTGCTTTTTGAAGAGCGGGTTAAACTGTACGCTTGTGCTTGCCTTTTTCTCATCTGAGATGATGGCCAATGACTTCTGGAAAAACTTTGATTTTTCTCCTTCCTTCCTTTTTCTTTCTCTCCCTCCTTTCTTTCTTTTTCTTCTTCCTTCCTTCCCTTTTTTTCTCACTTTCATCCTTTCTCCCGCTTTCCTTTTCCTTCCTTCCTTCTTTGCATATTCCTTCCTTCCTTCTCTTCCTTCTCTGCCTTTCCTTCCTTCCTCCTTTGCATATTTTCGTCCGTGTGAATTTCTACAGCTGCTCTGTCACAAACAGCTGTGATTGATCGGTGGCACAATTTTACATATCAGGGCAACAGAGGAAGGTTAAACTGCAGCTTGAATTAAGCAGCTGTGTAAATGAAGCTGAATTGTCAACCCTCTTTATTTGCTTTTATATCACCGAGAACATGCTCCACCACATCACTTCGTCCTCATTCTTGGTAATCTGGAATTGGAAGGAATACCTATTTCCTAGTAAGAAATCCTGCTGGGTCTCAATATTAAAAAAAAGACTGTGTTGAGACTCTGGAAAGAGTGCAGCAAAGAGCAACGAAGAGGATTAGGGGACATACGGTGAACGATTACAGGAACTGGGTACGTCTCATTTAATGAAAAGTTTGCAGGCCTTTGGTATGCCGAGTTTAATGAAAAGAAGGACCAGGGGAGACATGATAGCAGTCTTCCAATATTTGAGGGGCTGCCACGAAGAAGAGGGAGGGTCAACCTATTCTCCAAAGCATGAAAAGGCAGGGCAACAAGCAACGGATGGAAACTCATCAAGGAGAGAAGCAACCTAGAAATAAGGAGGAATTTCCTGACAGTGAGAATAATTAACCAGTGGAACGACTTGCCTCCAGAAGTTGTGAATGCTCCAATACTGGAAGATTTTAAGGTTGGATAACCATTTGCCTGAATAGGGTCTCCTACTTGAGCCGGGGGTTGGACTAGAAGACCTTCAAAGTCTCTGTTCAAGCCCGCAGTGTTTGGGGCTGAAATCAGGAACGTTCTTTGTATGGAGAAATTGGAGTAAATCTGGTTGACCTGAAGGGGGCAGCAAAGGGCTTTTCTTCTGCATCTCTCTTAGTAACCCTTGTGGGTCTGCAGCCCAGGGTTCAATGAAATGCCTTTAAATCCAGAGTATTTATAGAGTTTCAACACTGCCACAACATAGAGTCAACAACCGAGTAGCCTCAGAATGGAATTTCCATTCATGAAAGAACAGAACCTACGTTGTTCTTCGGGAAAACAATCTTACTGACATAAACAGAGTTAAATCAGAGGGTAAGATGAATCAGCCATTGAAAGCTGACATGCTCAAAAGAAGGAACTTAAAGAAAGCAAATTATGTAATATTTCAAACTGAGAGCCTTGTTAATTTAGCTCACGTCAATCACTCTGTTCAATGTATGTCCAGAGCATTGTAGGTCTAAGCTGGAAGGAATAGCCAACACCCAAGAAGATAGGCTCAAGATCCAGATGGATCTCGACAGACTTGAACACTGCGCCATATGTAACAAAATGAAATTCAATGTAGAGAAAAGGAAAGTCCTACACTTAGGCAAGAAAAACCAAAAGTGCACATATAGACTGGGTGAAACCAGGCTCAGTAGCAGTAACTGTGAGAGGGATCTTGGAGTCTTAGTGTACAACCAGCTAAATAGGAGCCAGCAGTGTGCAGCAGCAGCCCAAAAAGCCAATGCAATCCTAGGTTGCATTAACAAAGGGATACAATCAAAATCAAGTGAGGTACTATACCACTCTATAAAGTTTTAGTAAGACCACACCTAGAGTACTGCATCCAGTTTTGTTCACCACATTATAAAAAAGATGTTGAGACTCTAGTAAAAGTACGGAGAACAGCAACCAGGATGATTAGGGGACTGGAGACTAAAACGTATGATGAACGGTTGCAGAAACTGGGCTTGGCTAGTCTAGTGAAGAGAAGGACCAGGGGAGACAGGATAGCGGTCTTCCAATATTTGAGGGGCTGCCACAGAGAGGAAGGGGTCAAGCTATTTTCTAAAGCACCTGTAGGCCAGACAGGGAATAATGGATGGAAACTGAACAAGGAGAGATTCAACCTGGAAACAAGGAGAAACTTTCTGACAGTGAGAACAATCAACCAATGGAACAGAAGTTGCCCTTGGAAGTTGTGGGAGCGCCATCACTTGAGACTTTCAAGAGGAGATTGGACTGCCATTTGTCAGAAATGGTGTAGGGTCTCCCACTTGGGCAGGGGGTTGGACTAGATGACCTACAATGACCCTTTAAGCTCTGATTATCTGTTATCAGGGGCAAAGCTCACCCAACCAGTCTCCCTTAGCAACAGAAATTTTGAGCTGAAATTGTGTTGGTTCTATGGTTTTGGCCAACTTACGCAACTTGCGGTTATACCACTTTTTCTAATTTCACTCTTACAATTTTGTGCCAGCCCACTTACTTCCCCATTTCCTTATCTGCACTGTGAGGACAAGCAAATTCTTAGAACGTGACAGAAAAATAGCCAGAGATACCAAATTCAAAGTCAAATTCACCATGGTGGATTTTTTTTTATTGTAAAAGAATACGGGAACTTGAGAGTTAAAAGGGACCTTGAAGATCTTCTAGTCCAACCCACTACTCAAGCAGGGGACGCTATATCAACTCAGTGGCTGTCCAGTCTCTTCTTAAAAGCCTCCAATGACAGAGCACCCACAACTTCTGGTGGCAAGTCGTTCCACTGATTTAATTGTTGTCACTGTCAGGAAATTTCTCCTTATTTCCAGGATGAAACTCTCCTTGGTTAGTTTCCATGCATTGCTTCGTGTCTCGCCTTCTGGTGCTTTGGAGAATAGGTTGACCCCCTCTTCTTAGCAGAGATCAGATAATCAGAGTTGGAAGGGACCTTGTAGGTCATCTAGTCCAACCCCCCGCCCAAGCGGGAGACCCTACACCATTTCTGACAAATGGCAGTCCAATCTCTTCTTGAAAGCCTCCAGTGATGGCGCTCCCACAACTTCCGAGGGCAAAGTTGTTCCATGGGTTGATTGTTCTCACTGTCAGAAAGTTTCTCCTTGTTTCCAGGTTGAATCTCTCCTTGTCCAGTTTCCATCCATTATTCCTTGTCTGGCCTTCAGGTGCTTTGAGAAATAGCTTGACCCCTTCCTCCTCTCTGTGGCAGCCCCTCAAATATTGGAAGACTGCTATCCTGTCTCCCCTGGTCCTTCTCTTCACTAGACTAGCCAAGCCCAGTTCCTGCAACCGTTCTTCATATGTTTTAGTCTCCAGTCCCCCAATCATCCTGGTTGCTCTTTGTGGCCCCTCAGATATTGGAACACTGCTATCATGTTATCCTTATAACCCCCTATCATAATATCATAACCCCCTAGTCCGTTTTTTCATTAAACTAGACATACCCAATTCCTGCCACCGTTCTTCATATCTTTTAGCCTCCGGTCCCCTAATCATCCTTGTGGCTCTTCTCTGCATTTTTTCCAGTCTCAACATCTTTTTTATATCAACCAAACTGGTTGCTGTATTCCAAATATGCTCCACCTAAGGCTTTATAAAGTGGTATGAGTACTTCATGTGATCTCGATTCCATCCCTCTATTCATGCAGCTTAGAATTGCACTGGCTTTTTTAGCTGCTGCAGCACACTGCTGGCTCATTTTTACGTCCGCTTGTTCTGACCCAAACCTTGTTCCAAGTAAACAAACACCAAACAGAGATAAATGTGAATTCCATTCATTCATGGTTAAAAGGCTATTAAAACTAATTGTCTCTGGATAAGAACGAGCCTTGCCAAGGCTGCCAAAAGCACTAGATTAAGTTGCCAGGAAATATTCAAAGTCAAAAGTCTCCAAAAACAAACCAAGATAGTCCGAACTTCCACAAGGCTTGAAAAGTTGACAAAGGCAAGAGACAAGACTAGCCTTTTGGGGCAGAGAATCCCACAGTTCAAAATGCCCATTGAAAGCAGAGAATGGGAATTTGTGGGGCGTGGGGAAGCATTGCCCTCTCCAACCAATTGAAATAGGACTATTTGTATAAGATGGGATGTTATGCAGGAAATTCACAAGACTGTAAGTGGATGACAAACTCCCAGAACTTGTGACAGGGGCGTATTTCCTATCCCCCCTCCCCCTTGACAAAACAATCCAAATTATCCATAGACTTCAGGACTCTAGTCCTCAGAAAACACATTTCTACACATTGCACTTGATTTGCCTAATATAATTGTCTGGTTTGGTTCTGCAGCCCAACAGGACAGACACAGACTTCAGAAGATAATTAGGACTGCAGAAAAAACAATGGCTACCCACCTGCCTTCCATGGAGGACCTGTATCCAGCATGAGTCAAAAAGTGGGCTGTGAAAATATCTACACACCCCTCACATCCTGGACATCAACTGTTTCAACTTCTACCCTCAAAACAACACTATAGGGCACTGCACACCAGAACAACTAGACACAAGAACAGTTTTTTCCTGAACGCCATCACTCTGCTAAACAAATAATTCCCTCAACACTGTTCAACTATTACAAAGTCTGCACTACTATTACTATTAATCTTCTCATCACTCCTTATCATCCATCCCCTCCCCCTTGTGACTGTATGACTGTAACTTTGTCGCTTGTATCCTTACGATTTATATTGACTGTTTCCTAGTATGATTTGATTGCTTATTGTACCCTATGATTATCATTAAGTGTTGCACCTGATGATTCTTGACTCTTGATGGATGTATCTTTTCTTTTATGTATACTGAGAGCATTTGCCCCAAGACAAATTCCTTGTGTGTCCAATCATACTTACCAACAAAGAATTCTATTCTATTCTATTCTATTCTATTCTATTCTATTCTATTCTATTCTATTCTAAATACCATAACTCTCAAACATTCTGGTTTGATGCTTACAAATCATTTAGGACACCCCCATAGAGTTGGTTGACCTGGTTGATGTCTATCAATGCTTACTATATTGGACATGAAAAAGAGACATTTGAAAATATTTATTTCACTTCATAAACTGCCAATACGAGTAGTCCTCGACTTACGGCCACAAGTGAGCCCAACATTTCTCGCATTAAATGTCTCAGGTTAAGTGAGAGATTTGTTAAGTGTGTTTTGGCCCATTTTCTGACTTTTCTTTTACCACAGTTGTTAAGTGAGTCACTGCAGTTGATAAAGTCAGTAACCTGGTTGCTAAGTGGATCCACTGAGTTTGTCAGGTCGCAAAAGGGAGAATCACATGACCCCTGGGACACCGCAAAGGCCATAAATAGGAGCCAGTTGCCAAGGCTCTGAATTTTTGATCCCACGAACATGGGGATGCCACAATGGTTGTACCTATGAAAAAATGGTCATAAGTCACATTTCTCGGTCCGGTTGTAACTTTGAACAGTCATTAAACAAACTGTTGTAAGTCAAGGACTACCTATAATGTCTCAGGGACCCCTCCCCAGGATTCCCCAAACCACATTTTGAGACCCACTGGCTTAATATAACCTGAAAGGAGAAAAGATTAATCTGGTCAGTGCATTAGAATGAAGCCAAACAATTGTGCAATCCTTTTCATTATTGAAGGGCATTTAATGTCCCAAACATGCAATTATGTTCAATTAAACTCCATTATGTTAATAAGAATACATGATGCTGTTCTTTAAAGGTTTCTGCCTGCCTCAAAAGTCTATATTTATTCTTCCCAGTACAATGGAGAAGAGAAACTTTGCAACCCATCAATTTTTTTTATAGTCGATGGAGGAGATAAGGCTGCTATAATTAACACCAGATGTGATGGGATCTTCAGCTTAAATTATTTCCGGCTTCTTGGGAGTCTCTAAGAGAAAGCGATCCTACCTGAGAGAAGTAACCTCTGGATCGGTTGATCTCCTCGGCGCACGGCAGAATTGGGACTGTGTTCCAATCCTGGGGTGGTTTAAATAGGTTGCCCTACTAGTGGGTTTCCCACAGTTACTTATTAACTTCCTTTAAAAGTCGGTTCAGGATGGTTTCCAGTCCACATGAAACTGGAAAGGTTGCTCAAATTAGAATGTGGTTTTTCCGTAGAGATTTTTCAAGGCTCTTTGATGGCAAAACAATCACTGAAGTTGACCGTGGGAGAAAACCTTCCTGTTCCACTTCTGTGAGAAGCTGGCCAGATGAATCGCATATATGCAAATATTTATATTTTTTTTAAATTCTTCCTGTCCTTGTCTTGACATTGAACTTCAAGGCAGCCTTATTTTATTAAGATAGGCTCAAGATCCAGACAGACTAGAACACTGGGCCGTATCTAACAAAATGAAATTCAATGTAGAGAAAAGTAAAGTCCTACACTTAGGCAAGAAAAACCAAAAGGACACATATAGACTGGGTGAAACCAGGCTCAATAGCAGTAACTGTGAGAGGGATCTTGGATTCTTAGTGGACAGCCAGCTAAATAGAAGCCAGCAGTGTGCAGCAGCCACTAAAAAAGCCAATGCAATCCTAAATTGCATTAACAGAGAGATACAATCAAGATCAAGAGAGGTACTAATAGCACTCTATAAAGCCTTAGTAAGACCACACCTAGAGTACTGCATCCAGTTTTGGTCACCACACTATAAAAAAGATGTTGAGACTCTAGTAAAAGTGCAGAGAAGAGCAACCAGGATGATTAGGGGACTGGAGACTAAAACATACGAAGAACGGTTACAGGAACTGGGCTTGGCTAGTCTAGGGAAGAGAAGGACCAGGGGAGACAGGATAGCAGTCTTCCAATATTTGAGGGGCTGCCACAGGGAGGAGGGGGTCAAGCTATTTTCCAAAGCACCTGTAGGCCAGACAAGGAATAATGGGTGGAAACTGAACAAGGAGAGATTTAACCTGGAAATAAGGAGAAACTTTCTGACAGTGAGAACAATCAACCAATGGAATAGAAGTTGCCTTCGGAAGTTGTGGGAGCGCCATCACTTGAGACCTTCAAGAAGAGACTGGACTGCCATTTGTCAGAAATGGTGTAGGGTCTCCCACTTGGGTGGGGGGGTTGGACTAGATGACCTATAAGGTCCTTTTGAACTCTGATTATTTGTTATCTATTATTATCGACTTATCAATAGGATGACCGCGTGCGGACATTTTGAATGTAGAGGTAGCCCTCAACTTACCAGTTGCAGCCTCCACAAGGTCACGGGATCAAAATTCGGGTGCTCGGCACAACTGACTCATATTTGTGATGGTTGCAGTGTCCCCGGGGTCATGCCATCAATTTTTGCCACCTACTGACAAGCAAAGCCAGTACAGAAGCCAGACCCGCTTAACGACCGTGTTAGTAACTTCACAACGGCAGCTATTCACTTAACAACCGTGGGCAAGCAAGGTCGTAAAACAGGGCAAAGCTCACTTAACAACTGGTCTGGCTTAGCAAATGGGAAATTGGGGCTCCCTTGTGGTCCACCTGGACTCTGTGCTTATTGTGAGAGTTTTAGTTTATTTAAATTCCTCCAGCTTAAGCCTTCAAACAAGACCCCGATCGGCAGGTGCTTTAAGAGCTGGTTGGATAATTGCTTGGAGGGGTAATCTCTGAGGGGTTATGAAAGCACCGTCTCCAATTGGATGCAGTTGGCCTCTGTTCACATCCCAGCTTCAGCGGGACCAGTGGTGGGATCCAAAAGTTCTAATATCTAATTGCGATTGCTACGCCATGGTTCAGTGTGCTGCACCTCATTTATAAATATGGATGAATGGATAGATGGGAGGAAGAGGAGAGAGGTGATGAAGGGGGGAAGGTCCTATTTGGTATGGTCCTAAGATATGAGCTTGTCAGTCAGAAAGGTCGGCAGTTCGGCCGTTCGAATCCCTAGCACCACGTTAACAGAGTGAGCTCTCGTTACTTGTCCCAGCTTCTGCCAACCTAGCAGTTCGAAAGCATGTAAAAAATGCAAGTAGAAAAATAGGGACCACTTTGGTGGGAAGGTCACAGCGTTCCATGCGTCTTCGGCGTTTAATCATGCCGGAGGCCACATGACCACGGAGATGTCGTCGGACAATGCTGGCTCTTCGGCTTTGTAATGGAGATGAGCACCGTCCCAAAGAGCTGGAAACAGCGAGCACATATACGTGAGGGGAACCTTTACCTTAAAAGTATATTAGAGAATTTTCTTCCAGGCATAATTCTGCCCGTTTCTAGAAAGTATCAAAGGGTCTTGGAACATGAGACGGACTAGCCCGGGACTTATGCTTTATGGAATATTCTCATCCAGGAGATATGGTTGGTTCTTATCAGGACCTCAAAAGTACTATCTTGGCCAGCCTAGAGTGTCCCAGGTGCATTCAAAAAGGGACAATGTGATCATAGCTGCCATGTATTTATTTATTTAAGAAACTTTATATGGCTTTATATTCTTCCCAGTGACTCCGGGCAGCTTACACCCACTATCTTGACTCTGACAGAATCCGGACACTCCTGATTCATGAGGGGGGTTTGCATAAATCTACCTATCATTTTGGATAGGGTTTCAGTATTGCCCAGGTAGAAAAAAAATGTCTTTATCCATTGGGAGGGGAGAAAAAAATACTTTTAACTACTGTGTTTTGTTGAATCTGGGGAAAAGGGAGACTAAACAAGAAAGGGAAACAGAATCAGAAATGGAAAATAGGAAAAAAATAGATGGTATGTTTTTGATTCTGAATTGCGGGGAAAGTTTCGACATGTAACCTTGGACTAAGTAACACACACGCACACACAAACGTATAAAAAGATACCTATTTGCAACTTGGAAACTCTCCAAAACAAATGAATAATGAACGCTGGATGTTTCCTGATTAAAGGATGGTAATTTTACATGGCAAATGGACCCTGAGTTTTTAACTACTTAATATGAATGCATTATGAATAATTTAAGATTCTTATTAAATGTAAAATTGAACATTCGTATGAAATGCGGATGCTTTAATATTCGTATGAAATAGAAATATCCTAATAGTCATATCAAATATTTCAATACAGGTACTCCTCTACTTACCACCATAATTGGAGCAAAAATTTCTGCTGCTAAGCAAGACAGTTGTTAAGTGAGTTTTGCCCCATTTTTTTGCCACAGGTTGTTATGTGGATCACCGCCATTGTTAAGTTCGTCCCACGGCTGTGAAATGGCTTCTCTACTGACTTCGATCGGCGTGACTCAGGGACTCACAACCGTCATTACTATGAGTCAGTTGCCAAGCATCTGAATTTTGATGACGTAACCGTGGGGATGTTGCAACAGTCCTACGTATCATAAGCCATAGTCATAGCTGCACAATCATAGTGATAAGCCACTTTTTTCAGTGGTGTTGCAGCTTTGAATGGTCACTTAAAGGAACTGTTGTAAGGAGAGAGAGAGAGAGAGAGGGAGGGAGGGAGGGAGGGAGGGAGGGAGGGAGGGAGGGGCTGGGCCATCCGTCAGCCCTCAGATGGAGAGTCAACAGGTCTGGAGGTGGCTGATGAGGAAGAGGAGGAACAGCTGTGTCCAGTGCCTGACACATGGATGCACAGAAGGCAGAGGAGAGGAGAGCAGTGGAAATCTATGGGCTGGTCCTTAGGAAGGAAGAGACACTACTGCTATTGAGGCCCCACCCCAGCTCTGGGGATAAAAGGCAGGGGGCGGAAATGAACAGGCATGGCAGGCGACTATTCATCTTCTGGACGGTCAGACTTGTTAGACCTGTGAGAGAAACTTTGCCGGCGCTCCTAAGAAAGGAATCTTTTGAGTTAACATCAAGATGGGTTGTCGTGTTTGGGGAGCTGGATCAGAACATTGACAGTTAAGGCGGCAGCCATCCACCGGTGCTCAGAAACCTCATCCCCTTGAATGCATGCAACCACAAAGTAAAAAAAATAAATATTTTAAATACAAACAGTTCTCCACTTACGACTGATTACTTAGAGACAGTTCGTACTTACAACAGGCTCTCCAAAAGACTTGGTTTCAAAGCTCCAACGTCATCCCTCCTCACCGCAGTCACGTGATCACTTTACGAGCGCTCCGCGACTAATTCGCATACAGCCATTTGCAGCAGTTCGATCATGTGACCGCAGTTTGCGACGGTTTTGTTGGAAACCTGTCTTTACTTTTGGTTTCTTCCCAGCAAATCCAGCCCTTAGCAAAACAATGGATTCACTTAATGACCGCTGCCTTTGCTTAATGGCTGCTGCACAAAAAGGTATAAAAATGAACCTGCTTTACAACTATCATAACTTACCACTGTAATTGCTGGGCTCAGTTATGGTCGTAACTCGAGGACTATCACTATTCAATTTCAATGTCTTATTGCAGTGTGGACCTAAGTTGCAATAATAAATAGATTATTATTGCATGTAAATGATATGAATGATAGGACCAATTATTGTTCAATTTAAAATCTCCCTCCAGTTGAGCTCATCCCCTTGTGACTATGTAAAAATAACCATGACAGTTACCTGAGGAAGAGCTTGGAATTGGTTTCTATTCCTTTTGGGGGGATTTGCTTTTTTATAACTTCTCAGTCAAGATCCTGGCTGGGATTTCCTTGCGGTCTTCCATCTAAGTATCAGCCAAGTCCAATCTTCCTTACATCAGCCAATATCGGCCATGTAGTTTCATTCTTAGCAATTCAGCTGTGGGACCAAAGGTTATCTAAATATGAATGTTCCTCTTTCTCTCCACACGTAATCCAGCTCACAGGGTTGTTGTTATGGAGAAAACAGAAGGAGGAAGAAGTATTAGATATGTTAGCTTCCTTGAGTTATTTATCAAAATAATAAAAGCAGGAAACAAAACAGCATAGAACAGAGCAGAATAACTTTATTGTCCCTTTGAACGTACATGAACCGTCATACGTTAAAATGAAATTTCGTTGCATACAGCTCTTAAAAGGATCGCCACCTCCAATATACGCTACATAAACAGGACAAAATAAATACACACAAAATTATGTACATACCCACATATATTATACGACACAAAGAAACAACACCGTCTAGCTCGGATACGTACATG